GGAAGACCGTCAATGAGGTGGATTGATTCAGTGACTGGGATAATCGGGATGGGAGTGTCAGAGACAGTGCGATTGGCACAGGACAGAGCGGAGTTTAGGACTGTTGTACATAGGGTCGCTATGAGTCGCAAGCGACTCGACAGCACGTAACAACAACAACAACAACAACTGCGTTCATGGTTCTACAACTGAGTTCAAAAGTACTATCTTAAGCATCATCATCTCCAGCTGCCTTTCCACAACCTATCTTCTGTTCCCTTCTGAAAGGTGCACCCACTTCTGTATGGCAGAAATCTACTAATTCTAGGATACTCAGCTAGGTCACTGGAAAATTTCCCAGTGACCTTTGACCTCCAAACTTCACAGCACTCTCAAATCTACACTAAAAGGATGAAGTGATAAATACTGTCCATCTTACCCAGGAGTCGGGGTGACGGTGGTTACGGCTCCGCTGGGTCTGATGGCGGATGAGAGCCCGGCCCAGGGTCGGACCGCCGGCCGCTTTCCTCCGGCCCATGGTAAATATCAGCAGCCGCAGAATAAAGCTTCAGCGAGCAGCGCGTGCGCCTTCTGGTAGCCGCTCTTCATCCCCGGAAGTGATGTCAGCGCGCCCAAGTAGTTAAAGGCCAATGTGGAGACAAAACTGAGTGACTCCTCATTACGTTTTTTTGTATCCCACGTTTGGCAGTATTAAATAACAGAAATGTAAACATAGTTTTGGGCACTTGATTTACTAAACATATCTCTACAGATGTCTAATTTGGACAAAATAATCGAATCAAAAGAATGGTACCGTCCTTATGTGCGCTGGTATTTTATTTCCGGCTGGGAACTGGGACGCCTGGAATAAAATGGCCTATCACTTTACGGGGCCAACCACGCCTCCTGTTTGTTTTTGTTTGAAAGAAGCTTAGAATGAGTTTGTTTTTGTGATGCCAGGTGGGGATGAATTAGCGGTGTTAGATTTCAGATGGAACCTGAAGGTGTACCTTTGCTGTCCTGAAACACAGCAACTAGCCAGCTTTTTGTTTACTTTGTTTTCCCACCATCGTACAGTAGAGAAAAGTTTAAAATTTGCTGGATGACTGTTTCCAGAGCTTGGAAGGGTTACAATGAAAGCCAACTGGATTTGACTTATGCTTTGCTTCAATAGAAAAATGGTGGGTTGTTTTTTTTTTTTTTTGGTTAAAAGTATATGAAAAATTTCCTACTTGTACACCACTATTATTAGCAAAATTATTCACCATCACAAGAACAAGGAAACAGCCCAAATGTGCAACCGCAATAGAATGGACTGAGAAAAGTATGGTACATTCACGCGATGGACTACTGACAGCATTCAAGAGCAATCCTTTTGTAAATTACTTCCTAATTTGGGATGGAGAACATTGTGCTCAGTGCACTAACTCAGTCCCATAACGGCAAATAATGTATAAGACCATTATTGTAGAACGACTATTAGGATGGGGGAAGGGGGGGGCGTTTATTATAAGGTCGCACTAGTGGGGTCGCACTTTGATGGCGGGGTGTGTGTTTGTGAAGGAAATGGGAAAGATCCGGTGTGGAAAACAATGTACATGAACTTTATAAATAAACCGGCATAAAATAAAGTTTTTTAAAAAAGTATATTAAAAGTTTCCTTTAATGAAACTATGTGTATAATTAATACTATTCAAATCTCTACCCGTGCAATTGATTGCCTCTGAAAACCCGTTGGATGGTCAGCTATGTGTCGGGACGGCACACACTAGCAACATAATTAAACTATCAGGAACTTTGCTGTGTTGTTTTGATAAGCAAAACGTTGGCAGTTGGAATCCACCAGATGCTCCCAGGGTTCCGGAAAAGATGGTCATTCCCCTCCTATTAAACCTCAAAAAAGGGTGGCAGAGTCCAAATCTATTCCTTAGAGGTGTTTGGTTTTTTGGTTTGTGTGTTTGGTTTTTTTTTTTTTTTTGGTGTGTGTGTTTTGTGGTTTTTTTTTTAATTAAGCAGAACTAAAAAAACAGCTGATTTTATTCTTAGCATCCTGGTCTTTTGTTCCTCAATTAGATTTCCCCTTTAATGGGACTATAAAAGGTCAGTTTTGAGTTTTAACTACAGTTTCATTAATCTGGAGAACCACCCCACTGTGTTGCTTTTTAGAGAAATGAAGCTGCTGGCCCAAGTTGCACATGGAATGCAAACAGTGCTGGGATTTAATGCCCAGTCTCTTTATCTATACACACCTGGCAGAGGAGAGAAAAGGGGGGTGGGGAGAGGTGTATGAGATCGTAGGATCAAAAACTCTCTGCCCAGTGCTTCTCAGACTTGAATGTGCATGTGAATCCTCCAAGGTTCTCATTACATAGTAGATTCTGAATCAGAAGGTCTTGAATGGGGCCTGTTGGTAACATTCATTTTCTGTGCAAGTGCCCTATACACAGCAGATGGAAATGCTATTTTTTTAGTCCATGGTTACAGCCATTGTGTCAATTCATCTTCTTAAGGATCTTATTTTTTTTCAACCTCTAGCAAAAGCAAGAAGCACTTGTTCCCATAGAAAAATGTAATATTGCATGTTTTAAAATCAGGAAAAGTGTGCATCAGGGTTGTATCCTTTTTACATACCTATTCACCCTGTATGTATGCAGCGCAAATAACTTGAGAAGCTGGACTATATGAAGAAGAATGTGGCGTCGGAATGGAGGAAGACCGAATGACAGCCTGCATTATGCAGATGACACAACCTTGCTTGTAGAAAGTGGAGAAAACTTGAAGCACTTATTACAAAAGATAAAAAAAAAATCCTCACCACTGGACTGACGGGGAGCATCACGATACATGGAAAAAATATTGAAGTCGTCAAAGATTTCCTTTTACTTGGATCCACAATTAATACCCATGGTAACAGCAGTCAAGAAATCAGAAGCTGGACTGTACTGTGAAAATTTGCTGTCAAGGACCTGTCCAAAGTGTTAAAAGAGCACTTTGTGTGTGCCTGATTCAATGCATGTATTTTCATATACTTCTATGCATCTGAAAGTTGGCCAGTGAATGAGGATGACAGAAGAAGAATCCAAGCTTTGAATTGTGGTGTTCAAGACGAGTACTGAGTATGGCGAGCTCTGGTGGCCTAGTGGCAAGGAGCTTCACTGCAATCCCGCAGGTGTGCAGTTCAAATCCACCAGATGCTCTGCTGAAGAAGGAGGAACAATCTCCTCCTGTACCAGTCAGATCTGATTTGATGGTACACACACAAAAAAATAAATAAATAAAAATAAAAAAATAAATAAGAAGAGTACTGAGTATCACATGGGCTACCAAAAGAACAAATAAGTCTGTCTTGGTGGAGGTGCAATCAACATGCTTCTTAGAGGCAAGGTTGGTGATACTTCATCTCATATACTTTAAGGCATGTTGTCAGGATGAATGCCTTTTGAAATCTTCTGTTCAGCTTTTCTACTTCATCATTTCTTCATTTTTATTTTATCTAGTTTGCAGGATAGGGCCAGAGGCTTCATATTTCTTACAGGTGATGTCCACTCTAATGGTCTCTGTGCCATACTTTGAGTAGTAAGAGTTGTCTACTCCTTTCTCATGCAAATGAAGACATTGGAATAGATGGCTGTAAAAGTCAGGCACAGAAAGTTGGAGCTGACAGGGCTGACGATACCATTTACTCATCCTTGGATCCCCTGCCAAGCCTTTTGTGTGTTATATCTCATTGCTGACTCATCTTGAATTGCACTGAAATTTGAGAATCAACCAAGGGTAAGGTTTTGAGAAGACAGTGCTTTTGGGGAAAGGTATTAGTTGGCAAGGTTTTCGGGGATGCATCTTTTGGTTTTCTCCATTTAGAGATAGTATATTTTTAAAATAACAAAAGTAGAGCCTAATCCCCAGAAATGAGATATGTTGTTGTTGGTGTGTGCCAT